TGGGCGCGGGAGTGGGTGGCGACAGAAGGGGCGACATTGACGAGGACGACAATGGCTGCGACAGACTCGACGGCGTAGGCTGGGCACCTTTTTGGGGCCATCTTGGGGGCTTCGTTGACCGTTGTGGGAGCCTCTGGCGCCGTCGTCGTGAGAATCCTCTCGGGGGCCTGCGGGAGGCAGTTTGGAGGCTTCTGGGGAGCTGTTTTGGGGCAGCTTGGGGCTTTTTTTGGGCTTGTTGGGGGCCTCTTGGGGGCTTCTTGGAGCCTCTTGGAGGCCTCTTGGGGCCTCCTTGGCGCCTTTTGGGGCGGAAGGCTAGAATTTTAGGTTCGTGGTCCCCGTCTGGAGCCTTTCTTGGGCCCCTCTGTGGGCCCTCTTGGACTGTCTGAAGGCCCTCTTGAGCCGTTTTGAGGCGCTCTTGGGCCGTGTTGGGGCCCACTTGGGAGCCTCTCGGGTCGTCTTGATGCCGTCTTGGGGGCTTCTTTCGCCGTCTTGGAGCGTCGGAAGCCCGAAAAAACGCGAAGGCCAAAAACGTTGAAAAAACCAATGGAAATCGACGATTTTGGCCTCTTGGGGCCATCTTGGGAGGCGTCTTGGAAGCTTCTTGGGGCGTCTTGGAGGCATCTGGGGCCATCTGGAGGCCATCTTGACCGTCTTCGAGTGTTTTTTCGGCGACTCGGGGCCCTCTTGGACCGTCTGCAGAGCTTCTTGGGAGCCTCTTCGCTCGTTTGCGGCCCCCCCAGCAGACTCTCTGGAGCGGATGACCCCCCCCGGACCGCGCCGGCGGATCCCGGGGAATCCGGCCGGACCCCCCCCCCCCCCCCTCCAAAACGACCGGACCAGGCTCCGGGGGGAGGGGTTTGGGGAGGGGGGAAGCATCTCACACGCCGATGACCCCAAGGGGTCGGCGGATTTTCCCAGGGCGCGCGCGGTGTCGAGTTTGACAATCGGCTACAGCTCGCGCGGAAGAAGTTTCATCCAAAATAAACTTACAAGTTCAAGATGCCCACTCCACCCGAGGCTCAACTAATTTGATTCCGCGGTCATCCCCTGCGGTCTGCGCGGCGCAGCCTGCTGGATCTTGACGGCGGAGATGGAGCGCAAGCCATTGAAAACCCATCGCCAGGTGTTGCGACTCGTCTTGGGAGCTGGCAGAAGGGGAGGACCAACAAAACGAGACCAGGTCACGTCGTGCAACTCAGACTCCGATGGCAAACACGAGGACGCCCAGACAAGGGTAAAGTGGATTAAACGCACAGCACGGGGCATTGAGCAACGATCGGCGGTTGGAGGACATTGGAAAAAGCGCGTTCTGCGGTCGCTTGGAAGGGGGGGGGTGGAACCGGACCCCGCCCCCCCCCCTGGATGGAGGGGGGGGGGAGTTCGAACCCCCCTTCCCGTGACGGGGGGGGTTCAACCCCCGTCCTCTCCTTCCATATTTTTCCTCTCTCCCTCTCCTCGGGCCGGCGCCTGAGTTGGCGGCGGCGGCTGGCGGCGGTTGCGGGGACGACGACTTCCTTTTCTGGGCCGGCGCCGGCGCCTGCGACGGCGGGCGGCGGCGGCGGGGAGCGTCGACGAAGTCGACGGTGGTGGTTGTGGTGGTGGTGGGTTGTGGTGGTTGTGGTGGTGGCGGTGGCGGTGGTTGTGGTGGTGGTGTGGTGGTTTGTTGTGGTGGTGGTGGGTGGTTGTGGCGGTGGGTTGCGGTGGTGGTGGTGGTGGTTTGGTGGTGGTGTGTTGGTGGTTTGTGGTAGTGGTGGTGGTTGTGGTGGTGGTGGTGGTGGTGGTGGGTTGCGGTGGTGGTAGTGGTGGTTGTGGTGGTGCTCTGGTGGTGGTTTGTGGTGGCGGTGGTTGTGGTGGTGGCGGTGGTTTGTGGAGGTGGTGGTGCTGGTGCTGGTGCTGTTGTGCTGTGCTGGTGGTGGTGGTGGGTTTTTGTGGTTGTGGTGGTGGGTGGTGAGTTGTGGTGGTGGCGGTTGTTGTGGTGGTGGTGATTGTGGTGGTGGTGGTGGCTGTGGTGGTGGTGGTGGTTGTGTGGTGGGTTGGTGGTGCTGGTAGGTTGAGGAGGTCGTGGTGGTGATAGTGGTGGTGGTGCTAGTGGTGGTAATCGTCGCTGCGTCCCCGCCGTCGCCGGCACGGGGGGGGGGATTCGGGATCCCCCCCCCCCCTTGGGCTGCCTGTGGTCATCGTCGCTGCGTCCCCGCCGTCGGCGCTGCTGGCGGCCGCCAGCGCCGACGCCGGCGCCGGCGCCGGCGCCGGCACCCGGGGGGGGGGGTTTGAACCCACCCCCCGTTGGAAGGGGGGCGGGGGGGTTTGGGAGGAGGAGGGGCTTGGGGGGGGGAAGGGGCCCCCCTGGTTCTGATTGACGGCGCCGAGTGTTGGGAGGGGCGGGGGGGCCCACCCCCCGGTTCGAAACGTGCCGCCGACCGAATGTTCCAAGGCAAGCGCCCGATAGCACAGGCTCGAATGTGGAAGCTTGCTGGAAAGCGTCTGGGGGCCTTTTTAGGGCTTTTTGGGGGGGGTCTGGGGAGCTTCTCGGGGCCGTCTTGGGTCCCCTGGCTAAAAAAACGGTGCGGGGGCAAATTGAGGTCTCACCCCAGCGGAGGTTCAACAATGATGTCTGGAGGCCCTCTTGGGGAGTTCTTGGGGGGCTTTGAGGGCCATGTACCTCGTAGAGCTCTTCGGCATCGATGAGCTAGAGGAATTCCGGCGCGGGGTGGAGCTAGTTGGCCGACCCGGCCTTAAGAGACAAAGTGGTAACTTTGGGTTGGTTTTGCTAAGATTTGAAAGATATTTGACAATTCATTTTGAAAAACCAGATTTTTCTCACGTGTAGTGGGTTATGCCGCGTCTGCCAGTTAAATTCTCAGGTCCGTAGCTGCAATATCACTATCAAAACACTTGCAGGAACCAACTTTGGATGAAAACTGGAAAATCGTGATTTTTCTAGTTTTTCGGCTCTCGCTTCAGAAGCTTCCTTCACGTGTTCCGAGCAGCGCTGCACAAGAAAAGAGCTCTACCAGGTGCCCGGCGGTAACCTGGTTGACGGTTTACCGCCGGTTCCAAGTCGATGGGCTAGAGGAATTTCGGCGCGGGGTGGAGCTAGTTGGTCGATCCGGCCAGAAAAAAAGATGTGTTAACTTTGGGTTGGTTTTGCTAAGATTTGAAAGATATTTGACAATTCATACCTCGTAGAGCTCTTCGGCATCGATGAGCCAGAGGAATTCCAGCGCGGGGTGGAGCTAGTTGGCCGACCCGACCAAAAGAGACAATGTGGTAACTTTGGGTCGGTTTTGCTAAGATTTGAAAGATATTTGACAATTCATTTTGAGAACCGGTATTTTTCTTACGTGTAGTGGGTTATGCCGCGTCTGCCAGTTAAATTCTCAGGTCCGCAACTGCAATATTACTATCAAAAGACTTGCAGGAACCGACGTTGGATGAAAACAGAAAAACGTGATTTCTCGAGTGTTTTCTTTCCCGTTCCACAAGCTTCCTTCATGTGTTCCGACGATCGCTGTGCAAGAAAAGAGCTCTACGAGGTTCCCGGCGGTAGCCAGGTTGACGGTTTACCGCCGGTTCCCAGTTGGGGCACTTTTGGGCCCCTCTTGGGGCTCTCTTGGGGCTCTCTTGGGGTGTCTTGGGGCCATCTTGAGGCCTCCAGAGCCCATCGGAAGCGAAAAGGCGAGAAGGCACAATACACTGATTGTCCATTGGTGTTTGAAGGATGTTGGCCTCTTGGGGGGTCTTCGGAGGGCTCGGAGGGCACTTGAAACCGCTTTTGGGCCGTATGGAGGCCTCTCGGATGTGTGCCAGCGGCTATCTTGAACCATTTGGAGGCATCTTGAACCATCTTGGAGGCCATCTTGGGCTCCCTGAGTCCCTCTTGGAGCTATCTTGGGCCATGTTGGGCGCTCCAACTACCCCCCCCCCTCCCAGATTCAGGGGAGAGGGGAGGGGGAGGGGTCACGACACCCTCCTAGATAGCAAGCCGTCTAGCTCACTCCCACCCGCCCTCCCAACACATGAGTAAGACCCGAGCCTCAGCGGTCGGCATTAGATGGACAGCTACTGGGGACCCAAACCGACCCCATGTGCGCGACGCTGGGGCGAGGGGCGTTGTGCGCGCCAGGCACCCCTGGGGCCCGAGCGTGCCAGGCACGTCTGTTGCGCCAGGTGCGCCACGCTCGGGGCACGTGCAGAATGTGTAAGATGCGCCTGCGCACGTGACAGCACGCATCGGGAAGCCACCACCACTCGAAAACCAATGCCCATAAATTGGGCCTGCGCAAAGCAGGCCAGACGCCCCCCCCCGTCCCTGTCAAAAACCACTTGACACTAATCGCGGGGTGGCCGCGCATGATCCATATTTAGCCGCGAGGTTCATGTTGGATTGGCTTTTGTCAGGGATGGTAGCCCTGCGCACAGCAGGCAAGCTGCTGACACCCCCGCCGTCCCTGTCAACAAGCAATACAAAGTGCTCGAGGGCCTCACGAACATGACTCCAGATTGTGCCCCAACATGTATTGAGTATTTTTTTTTGAATGGGATGGTGGAGGGGCCCGCATCGGGTTGGTTGCGCATGCTCTGAATTTGGAGGCAGATTGTATTTTGTTTTGTTTTTTGGCAGGGATGGTTGGGGGGGGGCGGCATGGGGTCGGCGTTGTACCTGGTTGGCTGCCGGTCGCCTGAGGGAGGGGGTATAGATTAATAGCGAAGAGCGATACACCCTTCCCCCGAGCAGCGTCATAGGGGGTTTGGGCAGAGAGAGAGAGAGAGAAGACAGCATCCGTTTAACAACCTACGCCCAGAGGGCTGGTGGAACTATTTCTCAGGTGTATAAAGATCCGCCTCAGCCCTCCCCAGCCCTTCTCCCGGAGAGGAGGAGAAGCACTCCGAGGGGGAGGGAGGAGGGATCAACGAGGTAGATCTGTACCCCTGTTCGGCATCTGAAGACGCCAACCTCTGTGGAGGTTCGGGGAGCGATGCCGGGATCCGGGATCCGCCAGGTGCTCGTCGGCGGAGGACCCCGCGAGCCCGACGAAGCCGCGCGCCGGCGACGGCTTCTCGGGGCGCCCTGCGCGGTCCCGGAGCGAGGTCTTCAGCGGAGTCCTCAGGAATCAGTATCGTTTACCCGATCTCCATCCCATCCCCATCCCCTTCGAGACCCCCCCCAAAAGTACCACCCCAGTTGGGGATGCACCCCTCGAGACCCGAAGAGAGCGACCCATATCCCCATCTAGGGGCGTAGATCGGCCAGTGGGGCCCTGGCCACGCCGCTTGGGATGGGGATCGGTTACGCGATACTCAAGGAAACCGGGCTCGGCCATCAGGGGAGTGATGATTAGGAGGGAGGGGGGATGTCATGGACGGGGTCATGATCTCTCCCCAGACTCTGTGGCCCCCTCATCTTCTCTCAAAGCGTCCCCATAGCATGCCTCGGGCCATGTTTTGCGAGCCCCCCTCTTGGACGACTTTCTCGTGGACGCCCCCGAGGAAAGAAGAGATGCCGATACAGCTACGACATTCGATGAAGAAAACCTGCATACGCAAGCACTTTCGGAGGTCCGTACGGATTTCATTGTTCGTTGGACCCCCTGGGAGCGCCCCTGGCGCCGCTACTGGCGGGCTCCGCGCGCCAGGGTAGGGGGGCGAGTCCAGCGTCGACCCAAGAAGTCCGCGCGGACTTCCGAGAGCTTGTGTTGATTTCCTCGTTGTTCCTCCAGCTACGACAGTCGTATGATATGTCGACGCGGCGGCGGCGCCGGGGCTCGCACTCACGACTGCACCCCGCCAGCGCCTTGAGCTCTGCCAGCAGTGAACGGCCTGCGCAGTCGAAGAGCGACGACGTTCAAGACCGAACCAGCCTCGCGGTGTCCGAGGCCACTGCGCGGGTCGTGGCGACACCGAGTTGCAGTTGCCTTTTCCCCCGTCGCCACGCCTGGATTCGCCGGGGGATCTGGGTCAGAAAGCGCGCCCCGGGAGAGTTCCGTGGAGCGGCGCTATCTGCAGTGTTCGACGAGATGTAAGAGTGAGCTTTCGCCGGAGTGACCTTTGGTGCGGGCACAGATGGGCCCCCAGATGGCTGAACCGAAGCGGTAGCAGCGGCTAGCGCGCCTGGATTCGGCTTCCCCGCGGCCCCTCCAAAGCCGCGCACCAAAGGTCACTCTTACCCAGGGTCACTCTTGCGTATAGCCGACGTGTCGAATGCTGATTGTCAAATGTCCGGGGGGGGGGGGTGGCCCGTCACGCAGAAGCTGCTTGTCGCGACGAGTGTTCTGATGGGCTGCATGCTCGCTCGTGGGCGTTCGTCGCCGCGGAGATGGTTTGAACGTCCTCCTCAAAATCCCCCGCAGGGTCAGAACGGTTCCGAACCGCTCGCCCCGCGGAGCGGAGCGACACGCCGTCAGCCTGCAAGGCAGGTCGCGTCGCCGGGGCCGCCGCCGCGACACGCTGCCCGGAAGTGTCCGACCGTGGCGCGTCCTCCTGCAGTCGGAGTCCCAGCTCTCCTGCGTTGGGTTCCGAAGCGCTGGGGTCACTTCTCCTCCCTTCCCACCTCCCTCCTCGTCTCCCCTCTCCTCTTCTGTGACGTCTCCTCCTCGCCGCCTACCTGCCAGCCATCCTGCCTCCTACCTCTGCCATCCCTGGGGAGGCTGCGAAGCGTGAATGTTGGCCCTCTTTCGAGGGCTGCTGGGGGGGCCAGCACAGTCGGGGGCTACGCGAACTCCGATTCGACCTCGCCATCCCTGGGTAGCTGCGACGAGTGGAAGTGCCCCCCAGTTGACTCAGATTAAGCCTCGCCATTTCTGGGTAGCTGGGAACTACGACATTGTCCCCAGTTTCGAGAGCTGCTGGGGGGGCAGTATAGTAAGGGCCTACGGGGATTCATATCTGACCTCGCCATTCGTGAGTGGCTGCGAAGTGTGAGACTGTCGGCTGCTGGGGGGGCCAGCGGAGTAACGTTATAGTGCCGCCATCCCTAGGGGGCTGCACACTGCGAGACAATCGCCACTGTCGAGGGCTGCTGCGAGGGGCCAGCTTAGCGCGGTGCTGTGCATATCAGATCGGGACCTCGCAATCTCCAAGGGGGTGCGGGGCGGCGAACTCCAGAATTGTCGCCACGTTCGTGGGCTCCTGGGGAGGCCTGTTGAGTGCGGTGCTACGCAGACCAGAGCGGGGCCTCGCCATCCCTGGGGGTCCACACTCCTCCTCCTGTGCCTGTCCTGTGAGACGTGCGTCGTGCATGACGGTGCCCGCGCTAGCAGCATCCATACCAGTTTGGGCCAGCTCCTCTTGTCACTTGATGCCAATCGGTTGGGTGCAGTCGGGGCCCTGAAGAAGGAACCCTTTTCGTTGGGGAGGGGCTCGGTGTTCCTTGATTGTTGTGCAATTTGCTTCAGGTTCCCCTAAGGTTTCCTATCGGAAATCGAAGTTCAACTTTTGGGAAAAAGGGACCTCGTTCCTTTCTTAGGGTTCCTTAGGGCAACGCCCCGACTGTACGTCGCAGGATGCTGTCCCCGCAGGTCCCGGCCGCGCTCGCGGAGTTCGCCTACGACGTCACGGGCGGCAGCCCGAGGCCCGCGGCGGCCTGTGAAGACCCCTGCCCGTGCGGCTCTCGGCCGCCGCGGGGGTGCCGGGCACCCCTGCTGGAGGGTTTCTCCGAAGGGCTTAGGCGACCCGTTTTTTTCCTCCTCCTCCTCCTCCCTCCTCCTCCCCCTCCTCCACTTCCTCCTCCCCTCCTCCTCCTCCTCCTCCTCCTCCTCCTCCTCCTCCTCCTCCTCCTCTTCCTCCCTCCTCCTCCTCCTCCCCTCCTCCTCCTCCTCATCCTCCTCCTCCTCCTCCTCCTCCTCCTCCTCCTCCTCCTCCTCCTCCTCCCCGGCCGACGCTGGGGTGCTGGGCACCCCTGCAGGGGTTTGCTCGAGTCGCAGGCCCAGAGGTTGACACCGACACCAAGATCGGCGGTGTGCCTCCACCGAGGGATGAAGGTCCCAATCTCGGTGATGGTGGCAATATTCTGGCTTCCAGGGTGACCGAAGTATTACCACCAACAACGAAATCCAGGATCGTCTTCCCCCTGTGGAGGCAGCTCCCTGTTTTGGTGTTGGTGCCCACTTCCAGGCCTCCAATGCTCGGCTGCAGTCAGATGGGCAAGCAGCGAAGAAGAACAGCCAAGCACACACATAGACTTTGGACGGTCCGCGCAGAGTTCTCTGGTCGGTGTCGGGACCCCCATGGCGGCGCCTCCAGCGCCGCCCCTGGCGCGCTCTGCGCGACAGGGCGGGGTCCAGCGCAGACCCCGTAAGCCGCGCGCCCCGTCGAAAGTTCATGTTTATGCCGTTTCTTCTTCCTCTGAAGAAATCATGACAATGATGCGCTCCAAGAGGTTCAGGCTTTCCTGCTGCTTCGCACGGACTCGAGAGCTTCAGAAGAAAAGGGCCGCTGGATACTCTGGATTTCTTGGAACGCATCCTGGGCCAGTCGCGTCATGACATCATTCTTGTCCTATACAGACATCCTTCAGTGTTTGAGCTCCTGCTGGTGTTTCAGAAATCCGACCTGCAGTCGGCGGCACCCCAACATACTTATAATAATCGTAGCACCCCGCAGTTGCGGATAAGAGTGAGGGGGCGGCGGGTACGTCGGCAGTCTGCGAGGCTCTGCAGAAGCCCGCCGCAGGCGCAGATGTTTTCAAGCTATAAGACGAGCCCGCCGCAGGCGCCGATTTCTTTGTTAAAACAATGTGGGTGGGTCACGGGTTGGGTCGCAGGTGGATCGATGGTGGGTCACGGGTGGGTCGCGGGCCCGGTCGCGGGTGGGTCGCGGGTGGGTCGCGGGTGGGTCGCGGGTGGGTCGCGGGTGGGTCGCGGTGGGTCGCGCGTGGGTCGCGGGTGGGTCGCGGGTGGGTCGCGCGTGGGTCGCGGGGTGGGTCGCGGGTGGGTCGCGGGGTGGGTCGCGGGTGGGTCGCGGGGTGGGTCGCGGGTGGGTCGCGGGTGGGACGACGACAGCGAACAACAACAACCACAACAACAGCACCAACAATAACAACAACAACTATAACAACAATACCAACAACAGCAGCAGCAGCAGCAACAACACCAACGCAACGAAAGCGAGAGAGAACGACAGCAGGGCCACGCTGCTCGTAGTCGTTGCCGTCGTTGTCGTCGACGTCGTCGTCGACGACGACGGCAACGACGGCAGGGAAGAAAGGTATACCTTTCTTCCCTGCTGTCGTTCTCTCTCGCTCTCTGCGACGAAGGCCACGAAGGCCGCCCCGCCGATCAGCGCTGCCACTGGCCAGGCCGACGGTCCGCGGCCGCCCCGCCGCTTGCCGGGGCCCGGCCTGCAGGGAAGAAAGGTATACCCCCCAAAAGGGGTTCGATCGAAATCGAAGAGGGCGGGTATCCAGGGTTTGGGAAATACGCGTTATTGGATTCTCGAGCATATAGCAGCAACTAATTTTAAGACTGTTCGCCCTTATATGCTCGAGTGTCCAATAACGCGTATTGCCCAAACCCTCGATACCCGCCCTCTTCATCTTCGATCGAACCCCTTTTGGGGGGTATACCTTTCTTCCCTGCAGGCCGGGCCCCGGCAAGCGGCGGGGCGGCCGCGGACCGTCGGCCTGGCCAGCGGCAGCGCTGATCGGCGGGGCGGCCGCGGACCGTCGACCCGACCCCAAGAGGGACGGACAGGGGACCGACCACGACGACGACGACGACGACGACGACGACGTCGAAGACGACGGCGACGACGGCGACGACGACGACGAGCGAAAGCGAGAGCGAGAGAAAACGACAGCAGGGCCACGAAGGGCACGAAGTAGGCCACGAAGGGCGACAGCGGGGACACGAAAGGAATGCGTATAGGGGCCACGAAGAGCGCGAACGAGCGGGGGCCACGAAGTGCAGATAATGCGGGGCCACAGAAGGCAACTATGGGGCCACTAAGGGTAGCAACTGGGCCACTTAGGACAGTGAGGGGGACACAAATTGCGACAGCGGGGCCACGAAGGGTATGCACATGGGGCCACAACGGGCGCGACTCTTGGGTGCCTGGGTGTCGGGAGCGCGGCGCGTGGGCAAATTGCATGAAATTCCAACGCAAGGCCATTCTTCAGTAAGTTGCAAGCAAGTCTCCAGCGAGAGCGCGACTCCAGAGCGCCGGGAGAGCGATTCCTGAATGAATTGTAAGGAAATCCCAAGCGAGAGCGCGATTCCTGAATCAAATGCGAGGAAATCTCGGGCGGGAGCGGGGGTCCTGGTTAAATTGTACGGAAGTCTCCGGCGGGAGCCGTTGTTGTTGTAACCCGGGGGCCAAGGGCCCAGTTTGAGCAGGAATACTTTCCCCGTCAAAAAAACAGGGTGCGAGCGTCGAGGGGCACACTTTGATTGAGAAAAAGCAGTATGCACCGGTGGGGGGATCAACAATAATTATTCTTCAGAAATGAGAATTCAACAACTATAACAACAATACCAACAACAACAGCAGCAGCAACAACAACAACAAAGCAACAAACATCACCCTAACCACGGATTCTCACTGTAGCCACGCACCCAGGGACAATGAATGACCGTTCGGCCCCTTCGCTCTGAGATATGTGAGTCGCCCCCCCGGGGGCGACGCGCGCACCGAGAAATCTTGTAGTGTATGCGTCGTGGTGGGCGCTGTCTGACCACACCGCTCAGGAAACGATGCGTTACAAGATGGGTATACGATATGTTCGGGTCGGACGCGCGCCTCCAAGGAGGACGTCCAGTATGAGTATGTATCTCTGCGTCCCATGCAGAGGTAGGGCTTACAGTCGGTCGCCCGCCGAGGGGCGTGCTGGAGCTGCTGAGCGAGATGGAGCGCCAGCAGCTTCTCGTGCCTGCTGGCGCCGGACCCGCGGGTTAGCAAAGGGATGCCGATGCCGCTGCTCCCCCGACCGACCTCCCTCGGCGGCCCGCACAGGGGGGCCCTTGCGCGTCACGCTCCCCCCTCCTTCCCTCCCTCCCTTCCCCTTCCCCTTCCCCTTCCCCTCCTCCTCCTCCTCCTCCTCCTCCTCCTCCTCCTCGTCCTCCTCCTCCTCCTCTTCCTCTTCTTCCTCCTCCTCCGCCTCGTACCCTCTCCCTCCCCCCTCCCTCTTCCTTCCCTCTCCTCCCTCTCCGCCCAGCCGGGCCAGCACGCGGGGCTTCAGGGCCTTTCCAGAAGGGCCCCAAGCCTTCGGTGCAGACCTGTCAGAGGCCGGGAGGGCATCTGCGACCCCCCCTGCCTCCGCAGAGGCCCCCCCACACCGTTCGGTGACACGCGCGAGTGACCTTTTACTGGAGTGATCGTTGGGTGCGGGCCCAATGGGGCCCCAACGATCGCTGACTGCGATGCGACAGCAGCGGCTTGCGCGCCTGGTGGTGTCCCCATAGACCCCCCCCCTTGGCCGCGCACTCCAGGTCACTCTTCTTTGGTGGGCTTGTTTTCCACCGCCGCCACCATAAGTAGGAGGGGGAGGAGATCCCCCTCCTCCTCCGCTTCCTTCTCCTCCTCATCATCCACCTCCTTCCCACCTCCAATTTATGGTGGTGGTGGTGGTGGAAAAACAGGCCCATCATTCGGGCAGCGCAAGGGCGGCGGAAGTAAAACGAGGCCGCCTCCGCTGGCGGAAACCAGCGGAAGCTCGGCGGAAGGCAGCGGAAGTGAACCATGCGCCCCCAAGAGATGAACACGTTTTTTGGTCACGGCGTTTCCGAGATCCGCCAGGTCACTCTTCCTTAGGGTCACTCGTGCGTGTAGCTGTCTCCGGAGGCCGCCCCCTTCGAGCAGCTCTCTCGTGCGTGCCGCCAGCTCTCCCGGGGTGCCTCCTGATCAGGGCTCCGGGGCGAGCCCAGCCTCCCCAGGAGGCCCCCCAGGGAGTGAAGACTGGGAAGGTCGGCCACTCGCAGAGGGGGGTTAGGGTTAAGTCGGGCATGCCCCTCTGCAGGAGGAATATGCAAGAATGGTCAACAATTCGTACGGGGGCGATGCTTCTACTATTTTTCGCTATGTTTGAACCCCTGTTGTGAAAATGTGTTTAGTTTTTCCCAGACATCCGCCTGTAGGGGGACATGCCTGACCTACGGGTAGGGGGAGGGGGGGGAAGGCTTCTCAGAAGCAGCCCTGCTTCTCAGAAGGTGCGGGCCTTGTCTACAGCCACGTCGTTGAGACAAGGAACAGTTTGGGTGAGAAAGGGGCTCGATATTCCTTAGGTCCTTCTATGGCTTTTCCTCTAGCCTCACTCGTGCACGCAGGCGCCTGTGGGGGCCAAAAAGGGGGCTTCGCTCCTTGTTTATCCTTCCTTCTTTCGGCAGCCCGTCTTGAGAGCTGTACAGTCGAGGCGCTGAAGAAGGAACCCTTTTCGTTGGGGAGGGGCTCGGTGTTCCTTGATTGTTGAAAGCTTGCCTCAGGTTTTCCTTATGTTTTCGATGGGAAATCGAAATTTAACTTGTGGAAAAAAGGGGTCTCGTTCCTTATTTAGGGTTCCTTAGGTCAACGCCCCGACGGTAGGGCCGGAGGCCCTTCGAAGAAGCAGCATCCTCCTCAGGAAGGCTGCCCGCCCTCCCCGCCCTGCCCCCCCCGTGTGCACGCCGCCGGGCACAGGGCGGCGGCTCGAGGCCTCTTCGTGGGCGCTCCCGGCGGCGGGTTGCCGAGGTCAGCCTATTCCTGCACGGGGACCGCCTCTGGCCCTTTTCTTCCTGCTCCTCCCCGCCCCTCCTGCTCCTCCTCCTCCTTCTCTTGATTGGGGGCCAGGTGTTGCATGACTCCCACTCCCTCCAGCATTGGGGGCAATTCCATCTGACGTTTTGCTCCAAGTGCAGTCGTACAGCCACGACTGACCCCAGGCATTTGGCTTCGTTGTGCGGCCTCCCCAAAGCTAAGGGAAGGCAGAATTTGGCGAGAATTCAGAGGGGGGGGTACCCCCACCCCAGCGGGCCGCCGAAGTCGGTCAGAGCTGCTGCCATCGTCGATCTGCAGCAGTAGTCGAGAGGAGCTTCGACATTCGCCGTCGTTCACCCCAACGTTCCCAACGTTCCTGTGCACTCCCTTGCGAAGGGGCGAATAGGGTCCTAGTCCTAGTCCGGATCCAAGTGTGTGTTCCAAGTCCTTGGGCGTTGCGTATTGGGGGCGTCATAAAGGGGGGGGGGGGAGGGGGGTCCGAGAAAGGTGCCCGAACGGTACCTAAACGAGCCCCCCTGGGCTCCAGAGGGGCCCGAAAGGGGCACGAAAGGGGGCCGTTTCTGACCCCCCCGTTTATGACCCCCCCTTCATTAAGTCCCCCCCGAAGTCCGGTCCGAGTCGGGCCCAAATCGGACGGCGCCGGGGGCCACACAGGCTACCATGGAACGGACACCAAACGTCGGCATCGGCATGCTCCTCGCTTCGAACGGGGCTAGGACGAGGGTACACCCGTTCCAGAGCGGTCCCGAACGCTCCGGGAAGGCCGCGGCGCCCGAGACATCCTCCAGAGCCGCCGGATCTCAGAGATTCTCTCCCGGTTTTATCTTCGTCCTGGCTTTACCCTGCTCTCCCTCCGAGGACACCTGTCCCTCGCCAAGGGGTGCGCCGACGCGCGCTGGCTGCAGGACAACATGAGGCCGCCCCAGTCGCTGCTGGCCAGGGCCTTCGCGCGCTTCGAGCGGCTGGGCCCGAAGCAGCAGGTGCCGAGTAACAAACGACAGCGTTCGTGCACGCAATACGATCGGCGTCTCCCCAACAGATACTCCAGATTTCGTAATAGAAGGGAGGGGGTCTGGACCCTCCAAGACAAGCCATTTCAGACCTCCCCCGTGGGAGAGCCCTCCAAAACATCGTCCCCAGACCCCCCAGGGCCTCCAAGATAGCCTGGAAGAGACCCCCCCCGAAATGAGACCCCCCTCCCTTTATTACGAAATCTGGAGTACTGATACTAGTCATGTATGCGTCGCCCCCCCCCCAGGGGGACGCGCGCGCGCCGAAGAAATGTTCTAGTAGAAGCTCCGTGGCGGGCGCTGTCTGGCCCTGCATCTCGAGTAGCGATACACTGCAATATGCTCGTACTACTAGATGTTCGGGTCGGTCGCACGCCTCCGAGGAGCACACATAACACTAGCATGTCCTTGTGCGTCCCATTCGTGCATGCAGTAAGAATCCGTGGTGAGGACGCTGTACTCCCGCAAGGGCACCCTTGCATCCTTGCCTCCTCGGCCAATCCTCGGCCAGTCTCGACATCCAAGGGCGTCCGACTTGGAAGGGCCACTCTTCCGATGGATTTCGACTGTATGCAACTATCAACTTTTGGGGGTCCGCGCGAATTCCTTGAGCTGGCGCTGGAGGTCCCCTCTTCACCACCTCGCGCTGGGCAAGGGAAGTGAGCAGAAATCCCAGCGCGAGCGCAGGATGTCCGAGCCGACCCCCGAACTCTGCTATTCCTACCGTTCCGTTTCGGGGTCCTCTTCCCAAAGTCTCAAGTGCATTGCTTCTGCTCGCGGGCCCCCTAGGTCTCCACCCCTTCCGCTGGGGTATGCTTCTTTTTCGGGCCCATGTCCGATAGTCCTGGGTCAGAGACCCGAATCATCAGGGGTAACTCGGGTCAGGGCTAGCTCGGTTCGTTTTTCGGGAATCCGAACCCGAGTTGCCCCGGGCCCGAGTTACCCCGGATCACTCGGGCGTCCAGAGCCCCGAATCATCAGGGGTAATTCGGGTCAGGGCTAACTCGGGTTCGTTTTGCGGGAATCCAAGCCCGAGTTACCCCGGGCCCGAGTTACCCCAGATATCTCGGGCGCCCAATTGGGGCCCGAAGCCATCCCCCGGCGGCCGAAATGGAGGAACCAGGATTGGTCGAGCCAGTCTTCGTATATGTCTGGCCACGGCCCCGCGGTCCGGACCTCTCGGCGCCACGGCCCCGTGGGCACAGGGCGGCATTGAGCGGCGGATGTCCCGCGCGGAGCGTACCCCGCGGGATTGCGCATGCATTGGGGATCATTCTTTTGAGTCCAGACCGCGAGGGCATGGGTACTCCAGATTTCGTAATAGAAGGGAGGGGGTCTGGACCCTCCAAGACAAGCCATTTCAGACCTCCCCCGTGGGAGAGCCCTCCAAAACATCGTCCCCAGACCCCCCAGGCCCTCCAAGATAGCCTGGAAGAGACCCCCCCCCGAAATGAGACCCCCCTCCCTTTATTGCGAAATCTGGAGTATGTTAGGTGTTTTTCGTTCTGCATCTGAGGCAGTGCTGAAAGTGGCATCCTCCCTGGAGCGCAGCTTCAGCGTCGCGGAGCTCCAGGCCTCGCTGGGAAGTTTTATAGTGCAGCCCAGGACTCTGCCTACCAGACGTCCCCGGGCGCCCCAAGGGTTCAATACATGCGTTAAGAGATCCTCGAGCCTCGACGATCCCAGACACCCGACGATGTGAGTTTCAGGCACGGCTAGCATGAGAATCGCTCTCAGAGCGTTCCAGAATGCTCTGGGATGGCCGCTACGCCCGACATGCACTCCAGATTCGCTGGCTCAAAGGGACTCTCGATGTATAATCCAGCTGCCTGCGGCAAGCTCCGCCAGCGTGCCAGCCCGCATTCTGGGTGGCGACTGTTCGAGGGGGCACGGGAGGCCATCACGTGTGACACCTCGTGTCTCCAGGCTTGGGAGAGCCGTAATGATGACGATGATGATGATGATGATGATGATGATGATGATGATGATGATGATGATGATGATGATGATGATGATGATGATCATGATCATGATCATGATCATGATGATGATCATGATGATGATCATGATGATGATGGTGGTGGTGATGATGATGATGACAGTGAGGGTGATATGACGATGATGATGATGATGATGGTGCTGATGATGATGATGATGGTGATGCTGCTGGTGATGGTGATGATGGTGCTGATGATGATGATGTTAGGTGCTGATTATGGTGGTAACGATGATGATGTTGCTAAGTATGATGATTATGCTGATGATGACGATGATGCTTCTGATGACGATGTTGATGATGCTGATGATGAGTGTAGTAATGGTGATGGGAATTGTGATGGTGGTGTTGATGATGATGGCGACAACGACGACGATGACGATGCTTATGATGTTCGTTGATGCTGATTAGGATGATGGTGCTGATGATGATGACGATGCTGACGACGACGATGACGATGTCGACGACGATGAGGATGATGATGATGACGATGATGATTGTGATGATGATGCTGATGTTGCTGTTGATGATGGTGATGGTGAGAGATGATGATGGTAATGGGGCTGATGATGATGCTGGCGATGGTGATATTGGTGTTGATGCTGATGTTGTGGTGCCGTCTGATGATGATGACGATGACTATGACGATGATGATGATGATGCTGCTGATGTTGATGCTGCTGCTGCTGCTGATGTTTCTTATGCTGGTGATGATGCTGGCGATGATGATGATTATGATGCGTATGATGATTATGATGATGACGATGAGGACGCTGATGCTGATGCTTATGATGATGATGATGATGATGATAATGATGATGATGCTGATGATGGTGATGGTGATGATGATGATGCTGATGATGATAGTAATGATGATGAGGAGGAGGATGATGATGATGATGCTGATGCTGATGTTGATGCTGATGCTGATGATGATGATCCTGATGATGATGCTGATGATGATGATGATGCTTCTAATTATTACGACAATGATTATGATGACTATGAACCTCGTTTAGGGCGTCGTGGTTTTGTCTTGGCCTCCTGTGAGGCTGTCTTGGGGGTCCCTTGGGACCCTGTTTGGCAGTTTTGGCCCTCTTACGCCAGCTTGGGGCTTGCGTCTCTCTTGGCCCGTCTTGGGGCCCTCTTGGCCGTATGGTAGGTGCCTGGGGGCCGTCGTGGGGCCGTCTTGGCGCCGTCGAAGGGCCGCCGAAGGGTCCTCTTAGGCCATCTTGGGCCATGCGAACATCATTCAAAAACCAAAGTGCAATCAATGAATTTGGCTTCATCGGGCCCTGGTGGAGATCCATGTTGCCATTTTGGGCCCTCTTGGAGGCATCTTGGGCCGTTTTGAGTCAATCTTCTGCCGCCTTGGGGCCGTTTTGGGCCGTCTTCGAGGCATCTTCGGCCATCTTGGCGTTTTTGGTTGCCTGCACGGGCCGTCTTGGAAGCTCGGGGTTCATTTCCATTGTTTTTAACGAGGGACCGTGGCTTGGGAGGCCATGGAGCGCTTGGGAGCAGCACCTGCGAATGCAGGAAGTGCACGATCCTCGGGCGGGTGCGCGTGAGATGAGGGGTCTAGGAGTTAGCAGCCATCCTGGAAGCGCACAAGCCCCAAGCGGGCGCGCATGGAATGAGGGTTCAGGCATTCGCTGCCATGCGGGGAGTGCACCATCCTCGAGCGGGCACGTGTGGAAGTGGCCTCGGAAAGGATGGGGCGATGTACGCGGGAGTCTGCCAACAGAGGGAGAGGGGGCGGCCCCTTCTTCTTGGCATCGCTCGGTTGCGTGCACTTTCGGCGAGGGCCATCGAGGAGCAGATTGGACCACCTTGCGACAAGAACAGATGCGCGCAATCAAAACGTACTCGGGGAATGGGCGTCCGAGCGATGGCGAGCACTTGAATTCGCAAACACCCTGCCAGGCAGACCTCGGCATTCTCCCACCCCCCAGCGTGCCAGGGGGGGGGGCACGGTGCTTTTGCCCCAACGTTGTTCAATCCGCGGCCGTGAGTTCGCGACCCGCTCCTCTCCTCCTCCCTCCTCCTCCTCCCGCCTCACCCCTCCCTCCTCCTCCCTCCTCCTCCACCTCCTCCTCCTCCTCCCTCCTCCTCCCCCCTCCTCCTCCTTCTCCACCTCCTCCTCCTCCCCTCCACCTCCTCCTCCTCCTCCACCTCCTCCTCCTCCTCCTCCTCCTCCTCCTCCTCCTCCTCCTCCTCCCCTTCCTGAACAGCTTCTCGGCCCGGGTCCATGCTCGATGGCCCCGAGGCCCGAGAGCGAACCCTGGAAGCCGAAAGCCGAAAGAAGCACACGGGCACATTGAGCAGATCGGTCCGCTGGAGAGCCGGGGAGAGGCTGCTGACGGGAAAGGGGTGTTACAAGACTACTCCAGATTTCGCAACAAAGGGAGGGGGGTCTCATTTCGGGGGGGGTCTCTTCCAGGCTATCTTGGAGGGCCTGGGGTGTCTGGGGACGATGTTTTGGAGGGCTCTCCCACGGGGGAGGTCTGAAATGACTTGTCTTGGAGGGTCCAGAACCCCTCCCTTCTATTACGAAATCTGGAGCACGCTGGGAATATCTGGCCAAACTTAGCCTACAAGTGCGTTGGAAAGGCCCAGAGAAGCGGAGGTGCACATGAAGATCCGTGTCAAGTGGGCCCCGCCCGCTTCGCGGCATCATTTTCCCCGCCTAGCCGCTTCGGACAAGTGCGGTGCACCGGCGAAGCGAGGTCGGGCCAGATAAAACGTGTCCTCGGCGTTCGTGTGCAGCCCCCCCCTATCCCCTGAGCAACCCCTTGCGGTGGTCCAGCTGGCAGGCTGCGCTGGGGGACCTCAGCGCGGAGGAGTCGCGGGGCGCCAACTGCACGCCTGCACCGCTCCTGGCCGGGCCTATCCTGGGTACAGGATCGGCGCGCACGCCCCTCTTTGGCCTGGCGAGGAGGGCGTGCACGCTGATGCTGGGTGCAACGCTGCGATCCCCGAGGCCCCATCCCCTGCCCTGGGGCCAGTTTCTCGCCCCGGATCGGTTTCTTTGACGGCCAGCCGGGGCCCCCCAGGGCGGGCCCCCCCCGGAGGCCGAAGTCGAGGAGAGAAATGCGAGGGCTGAAAAACGTCCTGTCGTCGCAGACTTGGGGTGCGGCAGGCTCGTGTCGCGCCGACGCGGCAGCGACTCCGCCGCGGGCGTTTCCCGGGTGGCACGCCGCCGGCGGCCCCGCATCTCTCCGAGGAGCTGCCGCTCATGGCAGGAGGCCGCCGCCCGCGCCGCCGCGACGCGCACCTGCCGCACAGCGATCCTGGGCTTCAGTCGGGCACGCCCCTCTAACCCCAGGAAGCATTTAAGAACCCCCCCCCCTCCGGCAAATCGATGACCCTGCCGCACATCATCATCATCATCATCATCATCATCATCATCATCATCATCATCATCATCATCATCATCATCATCATCATCATCATCATCATCATCATCATCATCATCATCATCATCATCATCATCATCATCATCATCATCATCATCATCATCATCATCATCATCGTGTCCGGGTGTTACAGCTATCGTTCGGTTATTTCGGCCCTTCGGAATATCGAATAAAAAATGCGGTGCTACGATATCGCCGGGGGGGTTCTTAAATGCTTCCTGGGGTTACAGGGAGGAAGATTCAAAAGTTGTCAAAACAAATCGTCGGGGGACGATTTGTTGGGGCATTTGTTGCTCATTTGATGGGGTATGTGTTGGCTCCTCTTTTTTTTATTTTTCGTCCACAATCCCCCTGTATGGGGGACAGGCCCGACCTAATCCTGGGGTATTTCTTTGGCTATTCTTGATTTTCCGTCCAAAATCCCCTTGTAGGGGGGGGAAGGCCCGACCTGATCTTGGGCCCAGCGTGGGCCTGGCCGGGCTCGGTGCAGGCGTGCAGCCCGGCGCCCTCCCCGCAGGAGGTCCAGCGAGTCTGCGCCGGGCTCGCGGAGCGCGGGTCGCGGGCCCTGCGCCGGCTGCCGCAGCCCCGCCCGGACGGCCCGGAGCGCACGGAGGACCGCGGGGGCTATAGAGAGCCAGAGGAGGAAGAGGTACGTCCTCCTCCTCCTCCTCCTCTCCTCCTCCTCCTCCTCCTCCTCCTCCTCCTCCTCCCTCCTCCCTCCTCCCTCCTCCCTTCTCCCTCCTCCCTCCTCCTGCTCCTCCTCCTCCTCAGAAGAAGAAGAATAAGAAGAAGAAGAAGAAGAAGAGGAGGAGGAGGAGGAAGAGGAGGAGGAGGAGGAGGCAAAGGTACCCTATACCGCTGCCCTGCCCTCGGTTTTGCCCCTTTGGAGCCTCCTGGGAGGCCCTCGTCGCCACCGCTGTATTCGCTCCGAAATTCTGGCCGGAAGGCACCCCTGGAGAGATTCGGGGAGTAGCGGTATCGGTACCCGTGGGTTTCCCCAGAGAGTGTTACGCCTCCCAGTTGGGGTCCGAGTTGATGGGGTCGGAGGATCGCGCCGCATCGGCGATGCATCGGCGATACGGCTCGATGGTGGAGCCCGGTTTTCCCCGCGTCGACGTCTCCGATGCATCGATGACGTCGCCAATGCTTCGCCGATGCATCGGCGATGCATCGACGATGCGGCGCGATCCTCCGACCCAATCTACTCCGACTCCATCTGGGAGGCCTCTAAGAATATCCTAAATCTCCGACGAGACGAGTCTTTCAATCGCAGCGCTTTTCCTTCGGTGCGGCCCCGGGAGGGGTTTTTTAGGCCCAGGGGCACGGAGGACAAGAGGGCTGGGAAAATGTCCCAGACCTCCGACGGTACGATGTTTTCCCATCGCAGCGTTTTCCTTTAGGTTCGGCCCCAGGGGGGCGTTTCTGGGCCCGGGGGCACGGAGAAGAAGAGGACCAGAGGGCCAGAGGATGTCCCAGACCTCCCACGCGTATTTTCTCGGTGCAGTCATCGCATGGGCGTGCTCCCTGCGGCCAGAAGCAAGTCGCGCATGCCGGAAATCGCCACCACGGTGATCGACGGCCGACCGCGCCCCCCTCCTTTCCCCGTCCCCCCCCCCTCTTCCTCTCCAAACGATGCGTGCGCGCTGGAAATTTAAAGTATGTCCAGTGCAAAACCTCCGACGGTAATGGGGGGAAACGATTAAAAAATCGCCCCCCCCTCACCCCCCCCCCGGACCCCCAAAATGATTGAGTGGGGCGGACTAATCGAATTCAGCCGCCGGAAACTGCTTTAATCGTCCGCCCCCCGGCGTTTGCTTTTGCCCCTTTGGGGGAACTGATTTTCTATTCGTCCTCCTTCGCTCGCTTGATCACCCGCGGTTGCGGGAGGAGGATTGCGGAGGGGGGACGGGGTAATTAGGGAGCAGTTGAGGGAAGGGGTTTTCGAAGAGGCGCTTGATCACCCTCGTCATTGCGGACGGCCGCCAGTCGTCCTTGCGGACCTCCGCGGCGATTGGGAGGTGGGGGATGAGGAGGAGGAGGAGGAGGAGGAGGAGGAGGAGGAGGAGGAGGAGGAGGAGGAGGAGGAGGAGGAAGAGGGAGAGGGGGGAGGATGAGGAAGAGGAGGAGGAGGAGGAGGAGGAGGAGGAGAAGGAGGAGGAGGACGAGGAGGAGGACAGGAGGAGGAGGAGGAAAAGGAGGAGGAGGACGAGGAGGAGGAGGAGGAGGAGGAGGAGGAGGAGGAGGACGAGGAGGATGCGAAGGAGGAGGAGGAGGAGGAGGAGGACGAGTTCGCCCTGAAAAATCACCCCGTCCACCCCCCTGGCCCCCGCGCCCTGGATCGCCACCCCGCGCCCCCCCCCCCTGGCTTTCCGCGGAACCCGGAATTGTCCGCCCCCCGTGTGCCTGCCCTGCCCCCCCGCTATTGCGGGGGCGAGGAGGCCCGCGAAACATTTGTTTAATCGCCCGCCCCAGCAAGTTTTTAATCGTTTCCCCCCATTACGATTTTCGGAGTCGCGGTATTTTTTATTTCAGTTCGGCCCGGGGGAGCCGTTGTTAGGCCCAGGGGCCATCAAACAGGGACCTTGGGCGCAACGCTACGCTGGGGGAGGGGAAAACTCGAGGGCACCTCTGGAAAAGGGGTATACGAACGTACCCTAGCGAGGATGGGCGCCCTCCATCGTATAATCCTCGAGATTCGCCAAATTGATGTGTCCAGTCGACAACTTCACACATTGGGGAAGGGGGTCGCCAGACCTTCCAATGCTAGTCCCCGGACATCTAGCGGCCTAGAACACATTGAGGCAGCCGTTCCGTTGCCATTGTTCGGTTTCTTGGGCCTCGGGGCCGTCAAAAGGCCAGGTCCGACGGCCTCGTTTTGAGGAAAATGCTTTGGTTCGGGTGATCACCACAAGCGGTCTGCAGCGTCTCAAGATGTATGGGTATGACCTTTCATGGAGGTATGATATTGTATATTGCTGATATATGTTATTGGTATGGTTTTGATATCTGTCGTCGGCGTCTGTTCTTTATCACTGTGCCTGGTTCTTGGTCTTGATGTATGCCTACGGTGTATATCAGTGATGTTTGTTCTGGGCGTCTGCTCTTGATGTACACTAGCTACTGGTGCATGTTAAATGTAGTTGCTAGTGGTGTCTATATATGTAGTTGTTATTGGTGTCTAGTATGGGTGCATGCTCGTTGTGTATGAACTTGGTAGACGTGAGTTGTGTAGGTCAATGGTGCACGTTCTTGGTGTATGCTCTTGGTGGCCAGTATGGATGCCTCTTATTGGTGTATGCTCTTGGTGCGCGTGTTATTTAGTGCTGGGCTCGGTGTTTGATATCGATGAGTGCTTGTATCGCGTGTTGCCGATGCCTGTTCTGGGCGTGGGCTGTCGGCTCATATAACCGATACAAGTTTTGTGTGCCTGTTCGTGATGTTTAGGGATCTGCGCTGGAGCCTGGTGGCCGCGACATGCAGGGTGGGCGAGGCGGAATTCCAGGGGACCGCTCGGACTCTTGGAAACCGGCGGCCGCGGTGTGCAGGGGAGGCGAGGCGGGGGACCACCCAGATTATTAGGGCCGGCGGCAGCGGTAACCGGGCGATTGCAGACATGGATCAAGGGGGCGTGGATTAGCGACGGCTCCCGTCTCCATGGGAACTCGCGGCTGTCCGCCGCCGGGAGAGGCGGCACCGGCCGCATCTTGGGAAGGGCGCCTCCCCCGGTCCACGGCTTTGGCGACCGCGCGGCAAGTCCATGGATCGCTAATCCCTGTTTGCGCGCCCCCGAGGTCGGGGACCTGTCTATCTCTTCAAATAGTACAACCCTTACCCATCGGTCGTGGAAAGGAGGTGTTCTTGGATTCCCATGTTCCAGTCTACTTCAAGAGCGCCTTTCTACTGGAATTATCGTGTGGCTTCACCTACTCCGTCCTCTTTAGGGTGCAGGCGGACACCCAATCTACTCTCGGCGCCTTCCTACTTCATGTTTACGCCTGCTTCTTCCGACCGATGGGTAACCCTGTCGGCTGGGGAACAATACATCGGTTCTTTGGGTACTCAGAACTGTTTAGTGATCGTCGTCGCCCCAACATGCCAACACTGTGTCAATTTGTTCGTCACCCCCCCTCCCAGGGGCGACCCTCTCGCCGAGAAAATTGATAGTATAAACTCCATGGCGGGCGCTTTCTGCACATACCGCTCGGGGAACGATCGACTACGAGACGGTTATACTATACCTTCAGGCTGGACGCGCGCCTCCAACGAGCACACATGGTGCTAGTATGTCCTTGTGCGTCCCATAGTGAGCGCGGGGGGTCCCCTCCACTCGACGGGGGTCATCCTCGCCTCGTCGGCTCACCGCGCTGGGGCCTGGAGCGCCCTGGGCGCGCGACACGGGGTGTATGATCATACGAAGATTTTCTGGGACCCGTGCAGAGTTCTTGGGCCGGCGCTGGAGGAGCCCCTAGCCCCACACCCGTTCTCCCAAGGGGTGTGGGGAGGGAAACCATGGTCGACCCAAGAAACCGGTGCGGACCTCAGATGGCTCATGCTCATGCCGACTTCTCCGAAGCATCCTGGCGCTTTGGCTTCTCGAGGCCCGAACCTGGCCTCCAGGGGCCACACAGGGTGACAAACCTGGCCGCCCCGATTTTTTTTCGAGGCGCAAGGCAAGTATCTCGTTGCCCCTGCGTTGCCTGACTAGTCGGGGAGCGCCTTGCTCGCCCAACAACCTGCAGACTTCCCTCGTACTCCAAGCGGGCCCGATGCGGATTCGACGCTCGACGTGGATACGACGATTCGACAAGGATACAGCCAAGTCGCTGAAATAAGGAACAGTTTGGGTAAGAAAGGGGCTCGATATTCCTTAGGTCCTTCTATGGCTCTTCCTCTAGCCTTCCTCGTGCGCGCAGGCGCTTGTGGGGCCAAAACGGGGCTTCGTTCCTTGTTTATCGTTCCTTGTTTTAGCAGCCCGACTGCAGCGGCGCCAAGGGGCCAGGCAAGGTACCATCGAAGATGCAACGTGAGCTTTTGGGCCTTCTGGAGGACGACCCGCCGTCGTCTCCTCGAGCGCCCCCGGTGCCGAGGACCGGGGCGGGCCAGACAAAGGGGGATTTGGACAGGGGGAGGGCACGCACTCGGGTGCGTGCGACCGGCCTCGGGCCCGCCGCCAGACGTCCTCCTCCCAGCACACCGGCCGCCTCCAGCGCCGGGGGGGGCGCAGGGAAAAAAGCAGCCACGCGCGCTCCTTCGCCACTACCTCGGCGGCGACGGCAGGGGAGAGTAGCCCAGAGGCGGGCAGTGCAGACAAGCCGCTGAAGCAAGGACTTGGCATCGCTCGGACGTGTGCATTTTTTCTCGGCGAGGACCAGCGAGGACCATCCTGGACCATCGAGCAAAAAAACACACGCACGAAACCGCAAAAATGCACGGGAAATGGACGTCCGAGCGACGGCGAGAGGACCACTTTGGGTTCGGAAAGGGGTCCGCTGTTCCTCGGGTCCTTCCCGTAGTTGTTCCTCTGGCCCTCCTCGTGCACCCCGGCGCTGCTGGCGGCCAAGGGGGGCCTCGTTCCTTCTTCGGCGTTCCTTCGGCAGCCCGACTGTGCGCGCATATCCGCCGGGGGGTCTCGCCGAAGACATGGCCCGTCGGCGCCACTGGACGCACGCGCTGCTCCCCCCCTGGGCTGCTCGCCCCCGTCGCCGCCCCTGGCGCAAGCTGCGTCTTGCTGCCCCCAAGACGTCCGACGATCCAGCCAAGGCGCTGAAGTAAGGAACAGGTTGTTTTCGGCAGGGGCTCGATGTTCCCTATAGGTCCTGGCACGGCGCTCCTCGCCCGCGCAGGTGCCCGTGGGGTCAAAGAGAGGCTTCGTTCCTTCTCCCTGTTGGAGAGGCCTTATACGGCCGGTGCGGCCGACCCCGAACGACGACGACGACGACGACGGCGACGGCGACGGCGACGGCGACGACGACGACGACGACGGAGACGACGAAGACGGCGGCGACGACGGCGACGACGACGACGGCGACGACGACGGCGACGACGACGACGACGACGACGACGGCGGCGGCGGCGGGGGCGGCGGCGGCGGCGGCGGGGGGGGCCCGAGAGCGGCCCCCCGCGGGCCGAGGCCGAGGGGCGAGCGCCCCGGCCCTGAGAGTGAGGTCGGGCAGGGCCTCCGGCAGGGTGTGGAGGTCGACCGGGTGGAGTCTAAAGCACGTCAGAAACACGTTGCAGACCGTCGATCATTCCCTCCTCCTCCTCATCCTCCTCATCCTCCTCCTCATCCTCATCCTCCTCATCATGTTGCAGACTGTCGATCATTCCCTCCTCCTCCTCATCCTCATCTTCTTCTTGTCTTTATCACTCGTCTGCTTAATACTGTTATTCGTACTGTATTCGTCGGGCCGAGGCCGAGGCCGAGGGCGAGCGCCCCGGCCTGAGAGTGAGGTCGGGCAGGGCCTCCTGGAGGCTGTATTCGTCGACTAGGTGTTATGTCGGGTGTGTCCCCCTACAGGGGGGATTTTCTAAGAAAAATCAGAGATACCCCAAAAAGATTCCAGAAAGGTCAAAACTATTTAAAAAAATAGTCCCCACTCCACCTGAGGTCCCGTTCGCAGTGGGTGAGGTGTCCACTCCACTGCCCGCGTAAGCATCCCACCCACCCACCCGCAGCTTGGTTTGCAACATCTCTCAAGACCTTGACGGTGGGTGCCACATGGCACTTGGCAACGACCGCGACGCCGACGACGGCAGCGACAACGACGACGACGCCGCCGACAACGTCTAAAGCATGTTATAAACATGGTCCAGAAGTCCAGTCGATTCCAGACTGTTGTTGGACTGCTTTTTCGACGCCGCGGTGTATTGCAAAAGACATCTATGAACAATCGATAAGATCGTGGATGTATAATCTAAAGCATGTGATAAACATTAGGGGGCCACATGCGAGCCCTACCCCTGCCCCCCACGATTTCTGAGGGCGAGGGTGGGGTTCACGTCGCTCGGGAGCTCCCGAGCGAAGCGAGCCCCACCCTCCCCCTCAGAAGTCGTGGGGGGTAGGGGTAGGGTTCGCACGTGGGCCCCCAAACATGTTCCAGACATCCAGACAATTCCAGACTGTTGTTGGACTGCTTCTTCGACGTGCGATGTATTGTAAAAGGCATCCATGAGCAATCGATATGATATTGTAATTCATATTCCAGAAGTCCAGACAATTGCAGACAGCTGCTCCAAGACTCCAGGCAATACAAAACTGGCGTGCTGCCAAACAGTTCCCAGACGTCTACAGCATGTTTCAAACACGTGTTGAACATGTAAAAACACGCTTGAAACATGTTCAGAACATGCTTTACACATGTTGTACACATCCTTAATTCAATGATAGGATTCTTAGAGTGTCCATTGTCATGGCATCCACAATACTGCAGGCGGAGCTGGGACGAAGAATCGAAAGTGGCTGAAGGAGGTTCACGATAGCCAGAGATAGTCGAAACACATCGACCCAATCTTAGTTTTTGTTGTCTGTTGTTTTTTCCCGGATTCCTCCTGTAGAGGGGCATGCCCTCCTACAGGCGGATCTGGGACGAAAATTCGAAATTAGCCGAAGAAGGTTCACGATAGCCAGAGATAGTCGGAACAAAGCGTCCCAAGCTTGTTCGTTGTTGCTTCGGTTGTTTTTCCAATACTCCTCCTGTGGAGGGGCATGCCCTCCTACAGGCGGATCGGGGCCGAAGAATCGAAAAAGGCCGAAGAAGGTTCACGATAGCCAGAGATGGTCGAAACAAATCGTCCCAAGATTTTTGTTTGTTGTTTGCTGTTTTCCCAATATTCCTTCCGTAGAGGGACATGCACTACTAGAAGCGGATCTGGGACGAAGAATTGAAAGTAGCCGAAGAAGGTTCACGATAGCCAGATATAGTCGAAACCAATCGTCCCACGATCATTTTTTGTTGATCTTTTTTTTTCCACCATATTCCTCCTGTAGAGTGATATGCCCCCCCAGAGGCGGATCTGGGACGAAGGGTTGAACGTAGTCGAAGAAGGTTCACAGTAGCCAGCGATAGTCGAATAAAATCGTCCCACGATCATTTTTTGTTGATCGTTGTTTTTTTCCCATATTCCTCGTTCTTTTTTTCCCAGATTCCTCCTGTAGGGTGATATGCCCTCCTAGAGGCGGATCTGGGACGAAGGGTTGAACGTAGCCGAAGAAGGTTCACGATAGCCAGATATAGTCGAAACCAATCGTCCCACGATCATTGTTTGTTGATCGTTGTTTTTCCCCATATTCCTCCTGTAGAGTGATATGCCTCCCTAGAGGCGGATCTGGGACGAAGAGTTGAAAGTAGCCGAAGAAGGCTCAGCCAGAGATAGCCGAATAGAATCGTCCCAAGATCATTTTTTGCTGTTTGCTGTTTTTCCCAGATTCCTCCTGCAGGGGGGCAGGCCCGACTCAGGGCCTGAAGAGAGGCGCGCCTCTCTCGTCGAGGGCCCGGGGGCCCTCGGCCGCCGCCTCCCCGCGCGGGTGCTGCCAGGCGCGGTGCGGGCCCAGTGCGCTCGTCGGTCGTCGTCGTCGTCGTCGTCGTCGTCGTCGTCGTCGTCGTCGTCGTCGTCGTCCCTCGTCGGTCGTCGTCGCCGTTCGTCGTCGTCGTCGTCGTCGTCGTCGTCGTCGTCGTCGTCGCCGGTCGTCGTCGTCGTCGTCGCTCGTCGTCGCTGTCGGTCGCCCGTGGTCGACTGTCGCCGTGGGCATCGCAGACAGTCGCGACCTTGAACGACGACGACGACGACGACGACGACGAAGGCGACGACGGCGACGACGACGACGGCGGCGGCGGCCGGGGCCCGAGGACGCCCCTCACGGCCCGAGCTCTGGGGCCCATCTTTCACCACCCACCGAGCGAAACCTGCACGCCAGTCGTTGAAAGTAGTACGTTTTTTTGGGGAGATCCCAGATCCCAGTCTTCTTTTGGCGCCTTCCTGCTTTAAGGATCGACTGGTTTCCTTCTTCTCTCCTCTTTAGGGGGCGGGTGGAAGCCCAATCTACTTCCAACGCCTCCCTACTGCACGGTTCTACCCACTTCTTCCGACCGGCGTGTACCCAACCCGAGGGCCCCAATGTGCCCTCCTTTCCCAGAGGGAAGTCCGCCGGGGAGCATGGAAAAAGCACGCATATGAAGCAAACACTACCCCCCCAACCCGAAATTTGGGTATTCGGGTTGTGTCGGGGTGTTCTGGTAGGTCGTCAATCTTCCGGCGCCCTTTTTCGAGCCCGATCGACTTGCGAGGGTCCCCGGGGCGAGCGAGAACGCACGTTGTGAAACAGCTGCAGCGCCAGGATCTCAGGGTCGCGGCGTGACACCGGTGGCAACACCCGACCCCCCCGTTTCAGAAGCGAAAGAAGCACGTACATCTACATCTACACACACACATATATATACACACTTATATCTATCCATATATCTATATATCTATATATATATACATAGAAGCATGTATCTCTATATATATATATATACACACATAGATGTGAAAGGGCGTGTTCTACCGCTGCTGGCGGAAAACCCGGTGGGTCACTGGGGGTTCCCAACCCGTCCCCCCCACCCCCACCCCTCGAAAACCGAGGGGGGGTCACTACCGGTTCGAACCCCTCCACCCCCAGGTCCATCATGAAAGGGGGCGGGGTCACTACCGGTTCGAACCACCTCCCCCCTCCCCTGGAAAACCGGGGGGGTTCACTACCGGTTCGAACCCCCTTCTCCCCCTCCTCGAAAACCAGGGGGGGTCACTACCGGTTCGACCCCCCCCCTCGCCCCCCTCGCCGCCGGCAAACGAATCCCGCTCCTCGGGACAGTTGAATAATGGTGGGGATGCTGGGACAGTGGTGGGAACAGTGGTGGTGGGGACAGAGGTGAGGGGACAGCGGGACAGTGATGGGGACAGTGGGGAAAGTGGTGGGGACAGTGGTAGCACAGTGGGGAAAGTGGTGGGAACAGTGGGGGCAGTGGGACAGTGATGGGGACAGTGGGGACGGTGGGACAGCACAGTGGGTCAGCGGCGGGGACAGTGGGACAGTGGTGGGTGCAGTGGGGACAGTGGGATAGTGGTGGGGACCGTGGGGAAAGTGGGGAGAGTGGGACCGTGGTGGGACAATGGTGGGGGGAGTGGGGACAGTGAGACACTGGTGGGGACAGCGGGGACAATGGTGGGAACAGTGGGGACAGGGAAAGTGAGGGAACGGTGGTGGTGGGGAGAGTGGTGAGGTGACAGCGGGGGACAGGGTGGGACAGTAGTACAGTGGGGAAAAGTGGTGGGGGACAGTGGTATACAGTGGGGAAAGTGGTGGGGACAGTGGGGGCAGTGGGGACAGTGATGGGACAGTGGGGACGGTGGGACACGGCGGGGACAGTGGGACAGTGGTGGGGTGGGGGACAGTGGGATAGTGTTGGGGACCGTGGGGAAGGGGGAGAGTGGACCGTGGTGGGACAATGGTGGGGAGAGTGGGGACACTGAGACACGGGTGGGGGCGCTGGTGGGGACAGCGGGGACAATGGTGGGAACAGTGGGGACAGTGGGACAGTGGTGGGGACGGTAGTGGTGAGGACAGTGGTGAAGGCGGTGGTGAGGACAGTGGTGGGACAGTAGTACAGTAGGGATAGTGGTGGGGACAGTGGGACAGTGGGACAGTGGGACAGTGATGGGGACAGTGGGGACGGTGGGAAAGCACAGTGGGACAGTGGCGGGGACAGTGGGACAGTGGTGGGTGCAGTGGGGACAGTGGGATAGTGTTGGGGACCGTGGGGAAAGTGGGGAGAGTGGGACCGTGGTGGGACAATGGTGGGGGGAGTGGGGACCCTGGTGGGGACAGCAGGGACGATGGTGGGAACAGTGGGGACAGTGGAACAGTGGTGGGGACGGTGGTGGTGGGGACAGTGGTGTGGGGACTGTGGGAATGTGGTGGAAACAGTGGGACAGTGGAGGGTACAGTGGTGGTGGGGACAGTGGTGAGGGGGGTGGCGAGGACGGCGGTGGGATAATGGGACAGAGGCACGGTGGGGACAGTGGTGGGGACAGTGCGGACAATGGTGGGAACAGTGGGACAGCTCAGTGGGACAGCGGCGGGGACAGTGGGACAGTGGGGACAGTGGGACAGTGGTTGGGGCCGTGGAGAAAGTGGGGAGAGTGAAACCGTGGTGGGAACAGTGGTGGGGACTGGGGACGCTGCGACAATGGTGGGGGCTCTGGTGGTGACAGTGGGGACGGTGGTGGGAACAGCGGGGACAGTGGTGGTGAGGACAGTGGTGCTGGGGACAGCAGTGGGGGATGTGGTGCGGACGGTGGTAGGGACCCGGGAGTCGTTTGCTGGCGGTGAGCATGGGGAGGGGTTGGGAGGGGTTCGAACCTGTAATGACGCCCCTCGGTTTTCGAGGGAGGGGGGTAGGGATTCGAACCGACCCCCCTGGTTTTCGAGGGGGGGGGTCGAACGGGTGCACCTCCCCCCCCTCCCCCCGGTTTTTTCGAGGGCGGTGGGGAGGAGGGGTTCGAACCGGTAGTGACCCCTCCCCGGTTTTCTGGAGTGGGAAGGGTTCGAACCGGCAGTCACCTTCTGGTTTTCTGGGGGAGGGGGCGGGCGAGGAGGTGCTCAAACCGGTAATGACCCCTCCCGGTTTTCCGAGGGGGGGAGGGGGTTTTGCCGGGGGGGAAGGGGGGGGGAGGGGGAAAGGGGGGGTCCAGCGGGTGTGGGGGGGGGGTCGGAGGACGGGGGGGGACCCCAGGGCTCGGGAGGAAGAGGGGGGAATTTTTCATAGTAAAGCCCAATCAGAGCTTGCTTCTGTAGGGGTCCTAGCGGATTTATATGGTTAGGTGAGGTGCGGCGCCAATTTGGTGGCCGGCGGCCAGGTGCCCGGGGGTACGTGCCCGGGTGTGCCCGGGGGTGCCCGGGTGCCCGGGTGCCTGGGTGCCGGGGTGCCTGGGTGCCTGGGTGCACGGGTGACCGTGTGCCTGGGTGCCCAGGTGCCCAGGTGCCCAGGTGCCCGGTAGCTCTATGTAGCCTTATAGCCCTATAGCCTTGTCGCCCTGTAGCCCTAATACCCTTATAGCCTTATAGCCCTATAGCCCTACAGCCCCATAGCCCTATAGCCCAAATAGCCCTATAGCCCTATGGCCTCGTAGCCCTGTAGCCCTGTAGCCCCATAGCCTTCTAGCCCTAGTGCCTCAAAAAGCCCCATAGCCCTAAAGCCCTAACAAGATCATGCTTGGGACTTTTCTCCGGTATCAAAAACAATTATGTATAACAACCAGCCCACGCTGGCTTCGAAAGTACGCGCTGCGCGAACGCTCGCAGCACGAGGCTGGCCCCGTGGACCCGGGGGGGGGGGCGTCTGCACCTGCGCGGGTGGGCACGCACTGTGGAGTCCCCTGCCAAGAAGCACCCTGCTTGCCTCCACTTGGCATCGCTCGGACGTGTGCATTTTTCTTTCGGCGAGGACGATCGAGGAGCAGCCTTGATCATGTGGCGAAAAACCACGCACGAAACCATAAAAATCACAGGGGATGGGCGTCCGAGCGATGGCGAGTCCAGGGTGCCCTGGGTTTCTCAGGTTTCGATGGCTCTGCTATGGAAGGCGCGACGCTCCCACTCCAGAAGTCGACGGCCGTCCTGGGGTCTCAGGGTTGGGCTTCTTGCGGGAGGTCTCTTGCGGTCGGGCCCCCACTGCATTTCCTTATCCTCGGGCTCCCTGCCGCCCCCGGCCCCGCCCGACGAGGAGGGTCTCGCGGCGCGCCAGCACCGCCGGCGTGCCCCGCTCTCCGGGGGGCTCGGACGGGGCGAGCGCCTCGCCGACGCGCGCCCGCCAGGTGAGCGGCACGGGCGTGCTGGGCGTGGCGGGCGGGGGCGCCGGTTCAAGTCGGGCATGTCCCTCTACAGGAGGAGTGTTCAAAAACAGTCCAAAAATAGTCTCGGGGCTGCTTTGGAACATGTTTTGCCTGTTCTTCCTCTTCCTCCACGACCCGCCTGTAGGAGGACATACCCGACCTGAGACAACAATTCCTGGACATCCAGCGTCCTGAAGAATTCGGGCGTTGCGTCATGCGGGGCGACCCAGAGGGGGGTGATGAGTGGGGGGGGGGGGGCGATGTCATGACGGGGGCCATGATATCCCCCCGATGTCATGTCGCCCTTTCTCACGCCGGGACGTCCCCAGCCCCCCCCCCCTGGGCCGCACATGCCGCTGGCCACGATTTGCTCCCCCCCCCCTCTTGGACGCCCCCCTTTTGGACGCCCCTCGTGAGGGGGGGGGGGGCGGTAAAGAGGGGGGGGTGGAAGACAGGTGCATCTCTGGAGCCTGGAAGGGGCCCCCTGGGGCCTGAAAGGGGCACGAGCGGTGCACGTTTCTTCTCCCCCCCCCCATTCGCGAATCGCCCCCCCCCCCCCCCCCCCCCTCCCCCCCCACTTGAGCAACGCCCAACAAAGTTTGGACGATTTAGGCGCTCGACAGTTGATCCATGCCCCCGCTCGCGCTCCGACCCCCCACGAGGTGCCAGAGCAAAAATGTGGAAATACTGATCTATCTGTCCAGATAAGCTTGGATCGAAGAACCTGGCCCCGGAGGCCCGAATTCTATATAGAATTCTGGCCTCCGAGGCCAGGTTTTTCTGCCCACGCACCCGGCGCCCACACTGGAGGGCGGCCGCAGCAGGAGTCTGCAGATCGAACGTCGGTCGCCGAGACGATTGTGCTTTTTGTAGTTTTCGGCCTCCCCGGGGCCCCCGCCGGGCCCCGGGGCTGTCAACGGCCACCCTGGACGAGGAACCAGCCCCGGGGAAAGGGTCCGGACTTCCAGGGGGCCCCGTTGTTAGAAGGAAGGACAGGGCATCGGATGTCTGGGTCAGGGGGCATGGGGGAACGCATCGACCCCCCAGTGCCCCACTCGTCACCGGCGGGGGCGTGGCAGCCCAGCCCGCCCAGGAACGCTCGGCTTCGCCATCTGGGGCCTATCGCCGACCTATCGGCGATGCATCGCCGATCCAAGCTCGATGTTTCCCTCCTGGCCCTGAGCTGCTTCCTTAACGTTGCCACTCAGGCGGGCGCGCCCGGCGACAGGCCCGGGGACCCAAACCTCGATCGACTGCACGCAGGGGGTGACCTTTCGCCAGGGTGGGCTCTGGGTGCGGGCCCGCAGGGGCCCCCCGATCGCTGCGCGCGACGCGTTGGCAGCAGCGTGCGCGCTTGGATTTGGCCTCCCGGCGCCCTCCGCGAGCCGCGCACCCGAGGTCAGTCTTGCTCTGAGGGTCATTCTGGCGCGTCGACGGGACGATTCGAGGGCTGCGAATCGCTGCGCGTTTCCACCACTTCGCCCCCCAACAGGACCATCAGAAACGGATCCGGGGCCGTGGGGTTGAGTCGGGCCTGTCCCTCTACAGGAAGAATATTCAAAAATAACATTACATGTTAGGCGAAGGGCCCAACCATACGCAGTTGTGAATACCGCAATTGTGAATACCATCTTCGTCCGCGCTCTATGTGGCCACGGCTTCCCGTCGGAGCCCGACATGCTCAGGAACACGTTCGTGGCCGTCTTCGCGAGCGCCGACGACGACAAGGACGGCGTCCCTCTGACCGAGGAGCAGAAGCAGGAGAGGGCTTTGAGAGCCATGAGGGAGGAGGTGGCGTTGCACGTCGACAGGGCGGAGTACGACGCCCAGGCGCGGTTGTTGAAGCAGCACAAGTATGCGGCCACGATCCTCGTGACGGGTGCGCCGAGATGGCCCGAGGCCGCCATGCAAACCCTGCCGCTGGCGCCTTCGGTGGAGCTCCGGTGGGGCCACGATCCTCGAGAGGGGCGTGCCGAAATTGCCCGAGGCAGCCGTGCGAACCTTGCCAGTGGCGCCTTCGCTGGAGCTCCTATGGGGCCACGATCCTCGTGAGGCCTGTGCCGAACTGGCCGAGGCCGCCGCCCGAACCTGGCCAGTGGGGCCTGCGGTGGAGCTCCCTACGGGGCCGCGATCCTCGTGAGGGGTGCGCCGAAATGGCCCGAGGCCACCACGCGAACCCTGCCGCTGGCGCCTTCGGTGGAGCTCCGATGGGGCCACGATCCTCGTGGGGGGTGCGCCGACGTGGCCCGAAGCCGCCGCGCGAACCCTGCCGCTTAGTGCTTTCGGCGGGGCCCCCCTATGTGGCCACGATCCTCGTGGGGGTGTGCCGAAATGGCCCGAGGCCGCCATGCGAACCCTGCCGCTGGCGCCTCCCTTGGTGGCCGCGATCCTCGTGAGGGGTGTGCCGAATGGCCCGGGGCCGCCGTGCGAACCCTGCCGCTGGCGCCTTCGGTGGAGCAGTACATGGACAGTCTATTCGAACCCAATGCAGACGTGAAGGGAATGCTGGCCCCCCCCCCTCTGCCCCCCCACTTCAATGTTGAAATCGGCATTGGCGTTGCTTTGGGGGGGGCTCGAATATTATTGTCCACCCAAGCCCCCCCTTCATTGCCAAATCTCCCCAATATTAATTTGGGGGTCCAGGGGGCATCTTGTGTCGCAGGGTTCGGATATATTGCCCATGTACGGTCCCCCGTCTGGTCTTCGTGGGGTCGCATCACACTTCTGGAGCAACCCAGTGGTCACCCCCTGGAGGAGGAAGAGGCGAAGGATGAGGATGAGGAGGAGGAGGAGGAGAAGAAGAAACAAACAAGAAACAGAAGAAGAGCAGCCCGAGGAGGAGGAGGAGCAACAGCAGCATCAGAGGATCGGAGGTGGGAGTGGGGAAAAGGAAGGAGGAGGAAGGGAAGAGGAGGAGGAGGAGGAGGAGGAGGAGGAGGAGGAGGAGAAGGAAGAAGAGAAGAAGAAGAAGAAGAGGAGGAGGAGGCAGGAGGAGGAGGAGGAGGAGGAGGAGGGGAGGAGGAGGAGGAGGAGGAGGAGGCGGAGGAGGAGGAGGAGGAGGAGGAGGAGGGGGGGAGGGAGGGGGAGGAGGAGGGAAGCGGGAGGATGAGGAAAAGGAGGGGATGAGGAGGACGGGGGAGGAGGGAGGAGGAGGAGGAGGAGGAGGAGGAGGAGGAGGAGGAGGAGGAGGAGGAGGAGGAGGAGGAGGAGGAGGAGGAGGAGAAGGAGGCGGAGGAGGAGGAGGAGGAGGAGGAGGAGGAGGAGGAGGAGGTGGGGAGGAGGAGGGAGGAGGAGGCAGGTGGAGGAGGAGGAGGAGGGAGAGGAGGACGAGGAGGACGTGCAGGCGGAGGAAGAGGAAGGGAAGGAGGAGGAGGAGGAGGAGGAAGAGGAGGAGGAGGAGGAGAAGGAGGAGGAGTTGGAGTCGGAGTCGGAGGAGGAGTCGGAGTCGGAGGAGTCGGAGTCGGAGTTGGTGTCGGAGTCGGAGTCGGAGGAGGAGTCGGAGTCGGAGGAGTCGGAGTCGTGTGTCACATCTCCCCAATATTAATTTTGGGGTCCGGGGGACATCTTGTGTCGCAGGGTTCGGAAATATTGTCCATGTACGCTCCCTATGGGGCCACGGTCCTCGTGAGGGGTGTGCCGAAATGGCCCGAGGCCGCCATGCGAACCCTGCCACTGGAGCCTTCGGTGGAGCCCCCTATGGGGCAACGAAACGCTGTACTGGGTGGGTGGAACGCAGGGAGGAGGGGAGGCAGCGGGAGGAGAAGGAGGGAAGGAAGGAGGACGCGGGCGCTGTCTTTTCAAAGCGAGGACCCAACACCACAGGATGGCTGGGAAAAAGATAGTCTGGGGACGTTTCTCTTTGACCATTTTTGATAATGGTATTGAATTTCTGGCTGTTTTTAAATTGGTCGTTCAAATTAGGCTTGTGTGGGGGACAGGCCCGACTTAACCCTGGGGCCCCCGGTCTGGGGGCTTCAGCGGACCACCTCGTCGGCCCTGGCCAGGCCCAGGCCCAGGATCGGCGCGTGTTCCCAGGCTTCCTCGCGGTCGTCCAGAATCCCCGTTTAGGGGACAGGCCCAACGTTACCTAACTGGCACCCAGGACCGTCGATAAACGATTCGGGGAGGGAAGCCCGATCCTGGGGAAGGGTGGAGATCTCTGGGGATTTTCGTCTGGAGCGAAAGGACGACGGTCGGGGATCAGGGTATCCTTCTTCCCTGGCCAGGCCAGCAGGTCGTAAATGCCTAGACCTCTGACGTCGCGATCTCGTTCGCAACGTTGCTCCCCAGAGGTCCTGACCCTTTTTCCAGGGTTCGGCCTTTCATCCAAGCGATCTGGGTCGCCATTTGTCTGGGTCGCCATGTGTGCGATACCGATGGCTGTCGCTCGTGCCCACCCAGCACCCCAAGACCCCCCCAGACTTCTGCGCGCCTGTTTTCTCCCTCCTCCTCCTTCCTCCTTCTACTCCCTCTCCCTCCTCCTCCCTCCCCCCAATACTCCTCATCCTCCTCACTCCCCTACTACTCCGACCTCCCCCTCCCCTGCCCCACACTCTCCCTCCATCCTCCTCCTCCCACCTCCTCCTCCGCCTCCTCCCCCTCCCCTCATCCTCCTCATCTCCTCCTTCATCCTCCTCCCTCTCCTCCTCCTCCTTCTCCTCCTCCTCACCCTCCTCCTCCTCCATGGCTGACGCTTCGCATGGTGGAGTTCCCTGTCCCTCAGTGGGAAGGCTGGCAAGTTTCCAGCGATCGGCTGATTGTCCAGGGGCCCGGCGAGGGCACCAGAGGCCGAGAGCCGGAGGACGCGCAGCCCTCGAGGGCCCCGACCTGCGGGCCCAGAAGAGGGGGCGCCTCGGGGGCCCGAGAGTCCGAGGACGCGTGGTAGAGCGGGCGCCACACAGGTGGGGGCAGAGACAGCGCGGGCTGCCGAACGGGGGCCCCCGAGGGCCCCGAAGAAGGGCCCCTCTCGGGCCCAGAGAGGGGGGGCCTTGCGGGCCCGAAAAGGGCACCGCTCTCCTCTCCCCAGTTGTCGCCCTCCCGTAATAATTTTGGCGATATTATTATATATAATAGGGGTATATAAATTGGCCTTATATATACACATATATGTGTGTATACATATTTATGTATAGCACACACAGAAACAACAAACTTCGGCAGCAGCCTCCGGCGTGGTGGCTTCGGCACGCGGCGCGAGGGGGGGGGCCTGGGCGCGCGGGGCTCCCGGGCCCGGGCCCCCTTGGCGGCCGCGTTACTCGGGGGCCCCCCGGAACGGGGTGGTGACCACACCGTGTGGTGAGTCGGTGGGGATGCGGGGTCGCCGCACGGTGTTCGGGCCGCGAGGCCCTCTCCAAGGTCGTCTCGGGCGGCCGGGGCCCCCGAGGCCCCAAAACCGTGCGGTTACGCACCGCCCCGGGAGCCCCGCCTCGGGGCCAGCAACGAGGGGGGCGACAACTAGGGGTTGTGTGTTGGGGTATGTTTGGGGTATTTTTTATTTTTCGTCGAAAATCCCCCTGTAGGGGGACACGCCCGACATAAAACTAGGGGGGGGGGGGGGGGGCATGACATATCCCCAGATTTCCTGGCGCCTCTTCTTCTTTCGTGGCGTCCCTGCCCACCCCCCATGGGCCGCGCACGCGCCGCCGTCCACGACTGCACCCCCCCCCTCTCTCGGGCGCCCCCTCCCCCCCCCCCCACTCTCCCCTCTCGGGCGCCCCCCCCCCCCGCTCTTGCACGCCCCCGACCGCCCCTGCGGGCCCCCTGTGTCGCTAGGGTGCGGTCGGGCCGAGGTGCGGAGAGCGAGGTCGGCCGGAGGCTGCTGGCGACCTCTCTCTCGATGGGCGCGCGTCGGCAGCATCGAGAACGGGTGGGGCGACAGCGGGGCCCGAGGGCCCTTGTTCGGCAGCCCTCGCTACCCCTCCTCCTCCTCCTCCTCCTCCTCCTCCTTCTCCTCCTCCTCCTCCTGCTCCTCCGCCTGCTCCTCTTCCGCCTCCTCCTCCTCCGCCTCCTCCTCCTCCTCCGCCTCCTCCTCCTTCTCCTCGTGTGACTCTTCATGTTTTTCGCGTTTCTGTTTGGATATTCTTGTGCAGCCTGAGGGAGGCTACTCTCGACTGCTTTTCGTTTTTGGCCGGCGGAGGGCCGCATATTCTTGAAGGATGTTCTTCTGGCTTGGGTCCGACTGCATCAGGCACCGCCGCTGGGTCTCACTTGGCTACAGACGTCCTTCAGGCTCTGAGCCCTGTCCGTTTTCTCAGACATCTGACCTGCAGGGCTGGGTTTCGCATGTCAGCGACGCAAAGAGGCGGGGTCGTCTGCGCCGACACTCGCGCGCAAGCGGCCCGCGCCAGGTCGCGCGTGGAGCGCCCTCGTTTCCAACGTAGCGTGCCGCGCTGGCGGCCCGCGTGAGCCACGGCGTGAGGTCGCTATGCCATCGCGCGTGAGACCCGTTGCTGTTCTTCGCTCCTGTGGCCGCCGAAGCCTGCGCCGGGCCAGGGCGGTGGCCAGCTGTCCTCGCCCCCCCCCCCCCGGACAGGCAGCGCAGCGGGGGCCGGCGCGCCTCCCGGGAGGCAGCGCGGCGGATGGACCCCAGGTGGCGGGCAGTGCCAAGGAGGCGTCGCCACCTTCGGGATATCACTCAGGAGAACAAGAAACACACAGACACAATTAATCGTCGATTTCCAAGAAAATATGGGAAACTATGGGAAGTGGGGGGGAAGACAAAAACTCCGAAAATATGGGGAAATATGGGGAATCCTTTTATTTGTGTGAATTAACTTGTGTGTCCCAGTTCCCCTTCAATCACTGCTGTGGCTGCTGCGGGGACTGCGGGGGCTCCTCTGCTCGGGTGGCCAGGTGGGTCACCTGCGGTTTAACGCAGCTTGCGGGAGCCGCAAGCTGGCAGTGCCAGGGGGGGCCGCCACTTTCGGGTCACGGCCGTGGCTGCTAGAGGGCGATTGCGGGGGCTCTGAGTGGGTGGTAGCCCTGAGATCCGGACGTCGCATTTGTTTCATAGCGGGCGTTTTCGCCCAGTTCAGGGCCCCAGGACCCTCGCGGATCGACCTGGCCGAACATGCAGCAGAAAAATGGGGCTAGACCTCTAGCCGTGATGTTTCACGATGTTGCATTTGCAACGTCGAGGCTCATGGAAGGTGGGCAATTTGGCCCGACCAAGCTTGGGCTGCGAAAGTCCTGGATGGGCGGATGCAGATCCGGGCTAAGTGGGCCCCGCCCGCTTAGCGGAGGTGTCCAGCTGCCTGCAGAAAACCCCGCCATCGTGACAGCCCAGCATTTTGTGTGGCGAATGTTCGCTGGGGCATGGGTGGCCGTCATATGTGACACCTCGTATTTCCGGGCTTGGGGGCGATGTGATGATGGTGTTGATGTTTATGATGATGATGATACTACTACTACTACTACTACTACTACTACTACTACTAATACTACTACTACTACTACTACTACTACTACTACTACTACTACTACTACTACTACTACGACTACTATTACGACTACGACTACGACTTCGACGACGACTACTACGACTACTACTACTACTACTACTACTACTACTAATACTACTACTACTACTACTACTACTACTACTACTACTACTACTACTACTACTACTACTACTACTACTACTACTACTACTACTACTACTACTACTACTACTACTACTACTACTACTACTACTACTACTACTACTACTACTACTACTACTACGACGACGACGACGACGACGACGACGACGACGACGACGACGACGACGACGACTACTACTACTACTACTACTACTACTCCTGATGATGATGATTATGGTGGTGATGATGGTGATGATGCTGATGATGCTGGTGATGTTGATGAAGATGATGATGACGAGGAGGAGGAGGAGGAAGAGGATAACCGTCACATGTGACACTTTTTTCACTATTTGAGGAGCTTTGTTGTAACTTGTTTTGGCCGTGGTGGGGCTGTCTTGGCCTGATATGAGGCAGTTCGGGGGTCTCTTGGGGCCCTCTTGGGTCGCCCTGGGGCCCTCTTTCGTCGTCTTAGGGCTCTCTTGGGCCGCCTTTGGGCCGTCCTGGGGGCTGTCGTAGGGCCGTATTGGCGCCGTCTTGGGCCGTTGAAGAGCCTTCTAAGGCCGTACTGGGTCCCACGGGACGCCCTCTTGGGCCGTCATGGGGCCGTTTTGGATACCTCTTGGACCATCGTGGGGTCCTTTTGGGCCATCTTGGGACCCCCTTGGGGGCCTCTTGGGCTGTCTTGGGGCCATCGTGGAGGCTCCTTGTGCTGGCTTGAGCTGACAGAAGCTTGGAAAAGGCGATACTGCGAACATCAGTCTAAACCAATGAGAATCAATGACTTTGGCCCCTTCGGGCCATATTGGAGGTCCTCTGGTGGCCCGCTTGGGCCCTCTTGGACGACTCGCGGGTCGTCTTGAGGCCATATCCGGCCACCTTAAGGTAATTTTGGGTTGTCTCCGATGCATCTGGGGGAATCTTGATGTCCTTGGTTGCCTGTCTAGGCCGTCTTGGAAGCTTGGGGCGCGGACACATCCTAGGGGTCGTGGCCTCGAGAGCGCGGATCCACAATCTGTTATTTGGGCTCGTGGCCTCGTGAGCAGGGGCGATCCCTTATTGGGGCACAGGAGCCCTACCACACAGCACTTGGTATCCCAGACACGTCTCAACGTGTCAGGGGGCACCGTGGAGGATCTACCTCCAAGAGGCCGTTCAGGGCACCTCGTAGCCCACTTCGAGGCGAGGTTGCGCCAGATACCACACACCTTCGCATCCACCTCTAGACCCCGTAGCTATCCCCTCGGCCACCCCCGCGGTGATGCAAGCAGGGAGGTCGCCACCACCTCTTCATGGGAATCGAGGGTCGAGGAGGAGGGAGGTTCGAGGATCGAGGAGGCGTTGGGTATTTCTGGGCGGTGCGGTTACGTGGGGGTCCAGCGGGGTCCTGGGGCATCCAGGGGGGCCCGTCGTCTCCTGGATAGTGGTGTCGACCCTCCTTAGTGGCGACCCCGCTTGGCGTTGCCTGGAGGTGGGGCGGGGCAGAGCGCTTCGAGTTCTACTCGGCTGTGCTCCGCAACGTGGCCTCCAACTTGGTCCTCGGGGGCCAGACCTCCAGAGACGCCAGCAAACAATCAGTCTGAGTGTTCTCCCGCGTTTTCTACTTCGGGGGGGGGCAGTTTCGGAGCCCGGGACTGTAGGGAGACAGGACAATTCCATGACATGCAGTCAGTTCCTGCCCCGCCGCCAGGAGCCTTCATTGATGCATTGGCGCCTCTGGTTCCAGAAGGCGCCAGGAAAACCAGCTGCACGCATATGATTCGCGAACCCTCCTTTTGCTGTCACTCAAGGGAGGAAAAACTACCCAGACCGGACAATGGGCGTTTACTGAACGGCTTTGGGCGTTTACTGAGCAGACTTGCCCTGTCCGATTCCTTTTTAGGGCGCGTTTACTAATTGACTTCGCGTGTCGGGGTGGTTCTTATGGGGGTGGATTGTTTGACTTCTAGCTTCCGCCGCGACGTTCGGTGAGTGCCTTCGGACGCTCCAGCCCGCCTGGGAGGCGCCCTGAGATGCACCTACCGTGCGCTCCAGCCAGCCCGGGAGGCGCCCCGGCAAGCACACCACCAGGCGTCCACGAGAGGGGAACGAGCAATGACATTAAGTCGAGCCTGTCCCTCTACAGGGGGATATCCGAAAATAGTAACACAATGGCCTGGGGATATTTTGTTCCCAACCATCCTGCGGTGTTGGGTCCTCGTTTTGAAGAGACAGCGCCCCGCGTTCCTCTGCTCTCCTCTCCTCTCCTCTCCTCTCCTCTCCTCTCCTCTCCTCTCTTCTCCTCCTCCTCCTCCTCCTGCTCCTGCTCCTGCTCCTCCTCCTCCTCCTCCTCCTCCTCCTCCTCTCCTCCTCCTCTCCTCCTCCCATCACCATCATCGTCATCATCATCATCATCATCATCATCATCATCATCATCATCATCATCATTATCATTATCAGTATCATCTTCATTATCATCATCATCATCATCATCCCCTCCCTCTCCCTACACCATCGTCACCATCATCACCGTCACCCATCATCCATCAACATCATCATCTACAGCATCATCCTCGTCCACATCCTCCTCATCATCGTCACCATCATCGTCCCCGCCGCCCATGTCGTCACACCACTCACACGTTTCGTGGCCCCACAGGGAGCCCCACCTAAGGCCACAGTGGCGGTGTTCGCATGCGTCCCCCCTACCCAGGACAGCGTTCCGTGGCCCCATATGGGAGCTCCACCGAAGGCCCCAGTGGGGGTGTTCGCATGCGTCTCCCCCACGCAGGACAGCGCTTCGTGGCCCTATAGGGGACTCCACCGAAGGCCCCAGTGGCAGGGTTCGCATGCGTCTCCCCCACCCAGGACAGCGCTTCGTGGCCCCATAGGGAGCTCCACCGAAGGCCTCAACCGGAGTGCTCGCATGCGTCTCCCCCCATCAGGACAGCGCTTCGTGGCCCCATAGGGATCTCCACCGAAGCCCCACTGGGGGTGTTCGCATGCGTCTCCCCTACCCAGGACAGCGTTTCGTGGTCCCATTGTGAGCTTTACCGAAGGCCCTAGTAGGGGTGTTCGCATGCGCCTCCCCTACCCAGGACAGTACTTCGCGGTCCCGGGGAGCTTCACCGAAGGATTCAATTGGAGTGTTCGCATGCGTCTCCCCCACCCAGGACAGCGTTTCGTGGCCCCATAGGGGGCTCCACCGAAAGTCCCAGTGGGGGTGTTCGCATGCGTCTCCCCCGCCCAGGACAGCGTTTCGTAGCCCCATAGGGAGGTCTACCGAAGGCCCCACTGAGGGTTTTTGCATGCGTCTCCCCCGCCCAGGACAGCGTTTCGTGGCCCCATAGGGAGCTCCACCGAAAGTCCCAGTGGGGGTGTTCGCATGCGTCTCCCCGCCCAGGACAGCGTTTCGTGGCCCCATAGGGGGCTCCACCGAAGGCCCCAGTGGCAGGGTTCGCATGCGTCTCCCCCGCCCAGGACAGCGCTTCGTGGCCCCATAGGGAGGCCCACCGAAGGCCAGAATCGGGCCGTTCGCATGCGTCTCCCCCACCCAGGGCAGCGCTTCGCGGCCCCATCGGGAGCTCCACCGAAGGCCCCAGTGGCAGGGTTCGCATGCGTCTCCTCCACCCAGGACAGCGTTTCGTGGCCCCATACGGAGCTCCACCGAAGGTCGCAATGAGGGTGTTCGCATGCGTCTCGCCCACCCAGGACAGCATTTGGTGGCCCCATAGGGAGCCCCACCGAATGCGTTGCTCACAAAGTCGGTATTCACAACTGCATATGGTTGAGTAGTTCGCCAGGTTTTTTGTGTATGTTTTTAACACTTTTGGAGTATGTTTATTCAATCGCTTCGCTCACTCCGCCGGCCCGTATTGCATGATCGCTACTGCTTCGGCGCGGGCTCGGGGCCATTTCGGCGCCGCCAGAAAGAGGAAGATGAGGATGGGGAGGGGGAGGGCAGGAGGAGAAGAGGATGAGAAGGAACGGAGGAGGATGAAAATAAATAGGAGGAGGAGGAGGAGGAGGAGGAGGAGGAGGAGGAGGAGGAGGAGGAGGAGGAAGAGAAAAGGGCGGAGGAGGAAGCCTCTCGATGGCATCTTGCGGCGCTTTTGGGGCCAAACAGGGCCGTCGTCCAGATGCTTCTTTGGGAGGCCCTGGGGTCTGTTGAGAGGCAGTTCGGGGGCGCCTGGGAGACATTTGTGAAGCCTTGTAGGACCTCTTTTAAGCCTCCTTGGAGCCTTCTGGGGTCTCTTGGGGGCCTCTTGGCGGCATCTTGGGCCATCTTGGCGGCCTCTCGGGGCCTCCTGGGGCCCTCTTGGGGCGGAAGGCTTGAGGTTTCGGTTTGTGGTCCCCATCTTGGGCCCCTCTTGGGGCCGTCTTGGGGCTCTCTTGGGCCGTCTTGGGCGTCTCTTGGGCCGTCTCGGGGCCCGTTTGGGCTCTCTGGGGGCCTTCTTGGGGGCCTCTTGAGCCGTCTTCGTGCGCCTCTTGGGCCGTCTTGAAGCATCGGAAAGCCGAAAATGCGACAAGGCCAAAATCCTTCCAAAACCATCGTAAAAATTATGATTTTGGCCTCTCGGGGCGCTCTTGTGAGGCCTCTTAGAGGCCACTTGGAGCGTCTTGGCGGCTTCTTGGGCCGTCTTGGGATCATATTTGGCGTCTTGGAGCGTCCTTTGGGCGTCTCGGGGGCCTCTTGGGCAGTCTTGGGGGCCTCTAGGGGCCCTCTTGGCGCGCTCTGGGGAGCCTGAGAGGCCGCACCCAGGAGGAAAACCATCTCTGAGTAGACCTTCCCGGGCTGCGGTCGGGGTACTTTTCGCCGGGGGACCCCCAGGGGCCGCCCCGCGCGCGCGAACTAGAAATATTGTTAAGTAGTTACCGGAGACCTTAGCACGCCTCTGGCCCGTTGGGTCAGCGATTTTTTTCATCCAAAATCCACCTGTAGGGGGGCATGCCCGACCTAAGAATGACATAAACACAAGACCTCGGAGGTTCGCGCGGATTTCTCGGATCGGCGCTGGATTCCCCTCCCTGGCGCGCGGAGCGCGCCAGGTGCGGCGCCGGAGGCGCCGCCACGGGGCCCCAGCGCCGATCCGAGAAAACCGCGCGGACCTCCGAGTTTTTCCGTTTATGCCATTGTCCGTTCCCCTACATGAGCCCGCGTGTGGGCCAGACCATGGTCGTGGGGAGTCGCGTGACCACCTCACCGAAGCCCGAAATATCATCTCCTGGGCTCAGGATCGGTGTGCACGCGCACCCGCCCTGCTCTTGGCACCGCTCGGGCGTGGGCAACGTTCTTCGGCAAGGACCCTCGAGGAGCATCGTGGGCCATCCTTGCAAGATGACCCCAGCGCCGACCACGAAGATGAATGCGCGAAGCACAGCTGGCCCACAGGGCCGGCAGAGGCTTCCCGCCCTTCGTGAGGGGGGCACCTTGTCGTGAGAGTCGCCACTTTCTGAGGGGCCAGGGCGCCCGGGGCAGCATCCTCGTGAGGGTCGCCTCTTTTCGAGGGGCCAGGGCGCCCGAGCCACGAAGGCCGGCAAAGGGCTTGAGCCCCTCCACGGGGGCACCATCCTCGTGAGGGTCGCCACTTTTCCCGAAGGGCCAGGGCGCCCGAACAACGACTGGGCCACGAAGGCCGGCAAAGGGCTTGAGCCCCTCCACGGGGGCACCATCCTCGTGAGGGTCGCCACTTGTCCCGAAGGGCCAGGGCGCCCGACCCAACACTGGCTCACAGAGCCAGCAGAGGGCTCCTGCTCCTCCAGGGCGCAGCGTCCTCGTGAGGGTCGCCACGTTCCGAGGGGCCACAGGGCGCCCGAAGCAGAACTGGCCCACGGAACCGGCAGAGGGCTTCACTTGGCATCGCTCGGACGTGTGCATTTTTTCTCGGCGAGGACCATCCTAGACCATCGAGTAAAAAAACGCACGAAACCGAGCGATGGCGAGTTCAGCCCCTCCAAAGGGGCACCATCCTCGCGAGGGTCGCCACGTTTCGAGGGGCCGGGGCGCTTGGGCCACGGAGCCGGCAGAGGGATTCAGCCCTCCCCCCCCCCAGAGGGGCAGCATCCTCGTGAGGGTCGCCACGTTCCGAGGGGCCGGGGCGCCCGACCCAAAATTGGCCCACAGGACCGGCAGCTGATCCTCCAGAGGGGCACTATCCCCGTGAGGGTCGCCATTTTCCGAGGGCCAAGATGCCCGAGGCACAATTGGCCTACAAAAGTAACCACAACAACCACAGCAACCACAACAACCACAACCACCACAACCACCGCAACAACAAACAAACAAGGAAACAAACAAGCAACTAGCAACAACAACAGCAGCAACAACAACAGCAGCAACAACAACCAACAATTACCAACGACAACAGTCACAGCAATCATAACAACAATCACAACACCAACAATAGCACGGATAACAATAGCAATATCGATATCAAGACTAATAACACCACCACCACCACCACCAACAGCAACAACTACAACCGTGTTCAGACTGTTTGTTTTGATTCGATCGTGTGCCATTCATCAACGCGTATATCCCAAACCTTCGATACCC